GTGAGGTCAAAACTTTTCTAAAGAAAGGACCGAAATACCGTCCTTTATCTATAATAGATTGGAAACAGTGTCGTCAGGTCATTAAAGACATGCAAACGTGAAAAATCTGATAAAAAATCTCTAGATAGTTATTTGAATAAAATTATGAATACTGTTAATATTCGAATATCTCATTTTGAAAACAATTCTGAAATTAATAATAGGGTCCATGATATTCCCATTTCTAGAATAAAAAATAAACTCCAAGTACTCGCAGAGCGGTTTGTGTTCGTACCGGCAGACAAGGCAGCCAATAATGTAGTGGTAGTATGACGCATATACTACACGGAAGTTCTTCAAAACAAAATTATCAATTCCTCTACATTCAGGTCCGTACGCACCACTGAGAGTCAAATCGTTAACAAGCATATCACTGCCACTACCCAGCTTAAAGCCTCTTCCGAACATTTGAAAGTCCCAACCATGTACTGGTTACTGAAATTACACAAAAAAACATTTAAATTCCGTTTCATCTCCGCATCTAGTAAGTGTTCTACTACTAATATATCAGTGGTTCTTACTACCTCCCTTACTACTATCAAAGAACAGGTTATTTACTTTTGTAATAAAGCTTATGAAAATACTGGTATTAATTATTTTTGGGGTGTTAAAAATTCTTTAGAGGTTTTAGATAAAATACATGCTTTTGATAGTCCTTTTGGTTCTGTTGACAGTTATGATTTTTCTACTCTCTACACTACACTTCCACACAATCTAATAAAGACAAAATTTTCATATTGTAAATTTATTTGCTGGAACTCGTTTAAAGCCTTTTTCTGTGACGAAAAAGGAAAGTATGCTAGATACACTTACTGGAAATGTGAAGATATGATTGAAGCTTTAAATTTTCTCCTAGATAACATATATGTACGTTTCGGCAATAAAGTGTATCGTCAGGTAGTAGGTATTCCTATGGGCACTAACTGTGCCCCTTTAATAGCAGATTTATTCCTGTATTGCTATGAATCTCAGTTAATGACCAAACTCAATAGAGACACATCATTGTTACATTTGGTTGATACATTCAACAATACCTACCGTTATCTGGATGATATTTTTTCGTTAAATAATCCAGAGTTCTCTAAATATACTACCGAAATTAACCCAAAAGAACTTACTCTAACTAAATCTAACATAAACAGCAGCAGTTGTCCTTTTCTAGATTTAGACATTTCAATTTCTAAAGGGAAACTCCATACTAAAATTTACCACAAAAGAGACGATTTTTCATTCCCTATTGTTAATTTTTCTTTTTTAGACGGCGATGTGCCTTTGGCTCCATCATACGGTGTTTATATATCCCAACTCGTTCGGTATGCCCGTGTGTGTAGTGATGTCATAGATTTTAACGAACGTAATCAATGCATCACTGGTAAATTATTAAGTCAGGAATTTCGTTACCATAAATTACTTAAAACTTTTACTAAATTATTTCATAGATACAAAGATTTGATTAGTAAATTTGGCTGTACCTGTAGAAAACTTATTAAAAATGGTATTTCACATCCTAAATTTTATGGTAATATTGTACTTAAAGCGCTTAAATCATTATGTGATCCGTGTTAACTCATCGAACCTTTAAACAAACTTATTAGTAAGGGTTATTGCACCAATGTTGTAATTAGATCTCTGAATATAGTTTACATTGGCACTAATATCGATTTTGTCATGAGCAAATTAAAACATAACTAAATTTGTATTTTCTTTTCAAACGGGATGTAAAGAGACACACACACGTTCAGTTTTATCTATAAAGAAGTCACTACTAACTATCCTACTACCTATCGATACATTTATTTTTGGCATTGCACAAGTCATGTCTTCTTTGACTGTTCATGACGTTAAAATACTAAATCCCTGGGATGTATTTTAGTCGATTTTAGTCTTTGATGCATGATTTTTTATTATTAATTGTTTTGGCTTTGAACTAGCTGTCAGTAACTGCGAGTACTCTCAAATCGTACTTTCTTTTTAATTTGACCTGTTGATACTATTTGTAATGCTTTTTTTGTTATTTAATGTTGTCTTGTCTATATACAAGCTTTGATTATTTGGTATTGAATTACTACAAATTTTCACTTCTTCGTACTATGAACATCAAAATTATTTCATTTTTTCTTAGATGCTATTCTTGGACCTGTACAGGAAGTTTTATCTAGCACTATTTGTATATTTTTATTGTTGATATTCACCCGATATGTACCAAGTGTTAGATTAGTTTTATTGATATTAAAGAAATTTCTTGGTATTCCTAAACGGAAGATTTTATACACACAGAAGAAGAAGTATACATAACAACAACATTATTTTCATTTACCTGTGTATACTATGACGCAGGTTTCTTCAAAAGTGATGATTTTCTATAAATTGTTTGAAATTTTACAGTGATAACATACTCTAACTTTGTTTAAACCTGTTTATTTACTTTTGACTTTAATTATTTATCCCTTGTTATTTTTTATTAACAGTGTATTTGCATTCAGGTGTCACAGGTCAAATTTATTCGTTCATTGTGTGTGAATTTACGTTTTTTGATTGAGTTAAGCCTTCCAATTGATATTTCATAGTGTGTTTTTCTATGTTGTGATGTTATACTATTGTTTCAGAAAAGGGAGAAGGTTTGGTACCATTAAAACGTTTAATCCCGCTGCAAATGTTTGCACCTGTCCTAAGTCAGGAATCTGATTACAGTAGTTGTCGTCTGTTTATGTAGTTCATACGTGTTTCTCGTTTCTCGTTTTTATATAGATTAGACCGTTGGTTTTTCCGTTTGAATGGTTTTACACTAGTAATTTTTTGGAGCCCTTTATAGCTTGCTGTTCGGTGTGAGCCAATGCTCCGTGTTGAAGGCCGTACCTTGACCTATAACGGTTTACTTTTATAAATTGTAACTTGGATGGAGAGTTGTCTCATTGGCACTCATACCACATCTTCCTATATCTATAGGATATATGCTTACACTTTCAAAGCAGCTACCTGTTGTATTGATATATCATTGTAAATAGTGTAGTAGTCAAAAGCGCAGCATTTCCCTTATAATTGATCATCGACCAAAGGTCAATAACTCAAATAAAAAAAAGATTTATCATAATTATTCCACCAAAAAATGTAGATCAATATTATTTTCCACATAAATTCTTTTACCAAGAGGCATAACTTCTGTGAAAAAGAAAAGTTTAGCCGCAATCTGCCGACACCTTACTGACATAAAAATAAACGATAGAGATATAGTTTCAATATTACATCACATTTTAATCATAAAAATACGATGATATTTTGACAATTTATCAAAATGAGGTACGGTATTGGCATAGATTACCCATATAAACGTATGACGAAGAAGGAAGAAGGAAGAAGGATATTTTGACCTTTTTCATCATTTAATTGCAATAACTTTTCCGATTACAGACGTACATGTACATCCTTATTGAAAAACTTCAAGGTCTTATAAATGTATTTCGTATTCTAAAACTAGTTAGATAGTATATAAACATATGCCCGTAATGGAAGTTTATTTTCGACGTTATAACGAATTTTGAAATTTGCTATATCGGATTTCACATTTTTTTCTAGAGAAGGGAGTCAAAGGCCTGGAAATCGGTATGATACATATCTTAACAGATACCTACAGATCGGGAATTGTCCAGAGAGGTCGGACAAGCATCCCCGACAGTTAGGTGCGTCCCGTAACAATCGGGGAAACTCGCAGATGTTGTCTAGTCGGATTACATTAACTATTTTGTGACATATTCTGATATATCGGATTAAAATCACAACTCGTTGATGTGTATTCATGACGTTGTCCTCTGGAACGTACATGATTTTGAGAACTTTGTTCCTGCTGAGTTTTGCCTATTGAGTCCAGATTCCCTTAGATCTTGCCGAAACCGTTCAGGAATATTTTCGTTATTTATACGAATTTCGGCAATGATACCCACGTCAGACTCCCGACAATTACAGATCACAATACGACTGTGATAGGATTGTGGTCCGGCAGTACTTGCTCATCCCGAATATGGCCACAGTTTTCTAAACGGATGTCCTCCGTCAGCGTTGGTTCACTATCTGGTCACTGTTTGATCTCTGTCGGATCACACTCGGAAAAATCGGGACGCTGTCGGGACAGATTCGGTCGTTTTGTACCATGCGGAAGATTCAAAATAGATGAAAATCGGATTAGGAACGGGATAATCGTAACAAATTCGGTTGCGAACCGGCTGAATTAGGACGCTTCTTGAACAATATATGATTGTTGTCGTGATTCCTCAAATGTTTTTACAAATTTTAATTAGTTTGAATGTCCAGCCAAGATTTACAGGACTTTTATCAGACTTTTGACAAGTTTTATTAATCGGGAATGGTCCTGTCAAGGACGGCAGTAAAATCGAGAGTGTGTGACCTAAGCTTAATCAAGATTCTGTGATTCGCTGCTGGAAATTTGTAAAAACATTTATTTAATCGATCAGATATTATTCATGGAGCGTTCCGATTAGTCCGCTTTCAATCTGATTCTTATCGAATTTGTAGGTTTCGCATGAAAAAAAAAATCTAATTTTTGTATAGTCATAGATCTCTGATTCGTTATACGACGCAAGAATTGCACGATAGATCGATATTTTAATTATATTTGCAGAAACACAACGACCAAATATGTCACTTCAGCGCCAACGTTTTCCTGAATGCGACCCGACAGACACCAGAGAGTGCATAGACAGTTAGCTGGTACAGGGCATTGTTTCGATGTTAATATAATAATTCGAAATCGACTGAGTTTCCCAAATGTTTCGGGATGTACCTTACTGTTGGGAGTGCATTGTCAAACTCCCCAGATCTTTCATAATGTAGTTATTGTTAATTTGTTCCCGTCCTGAACATGCATGAAATATTTGCAACTGGACGTAAAGCAAGTAACAATCAATTTCAACAGTTCTTTTTATATAATCTTTTTTTTTATATTCTAGTAAACAGAACATTTGCAGTGTTGCGTTAAAAGGAACCAATGGTATGTGATATGCACAGATTCTAAAAACAAATACTACACAGAAATAATCATTTTAAAATTCATGATATGTTATCAAATGTGAATACATTAAAAGATGTCTTGCTTTTTAATAAATCGACTGAAAAGTATTCAGAGCGCATCATATTATGTTCACCTCTCAACGCTTCAAAATCTAATATCTAATATCATTATAATTATCTGAATATAATTTATATATAAATATATCAAATCTTTCTCTGCTTCGTTAAGTTTGTATGTAAAAGCGAGTGTCTTATTTCAATGAGTATTCACACTTATTCTAAATATTAACAATGACAAATTTTGATTTATATATATCATATAATATTGTTAAAAACTGACATGGTTTCGGGGCATATTCGATACTCATACCACAGGGACATGGTTAGCCACATATTTTTAGTGGAAACCCTATTGCCTTCTGATTATCAGTACTTTTTTCTTCTGCCAAATTTATTTCTTGCACTTTTTTTTGGTTTCTCCAGATGTCGTTTACTGAGAAATATTTTTTTTTTTCAGTACACGGTTTTCGATAGTATACTGCACATTGCTAGTAAACATACACCTCTTGAAACCAAGGTTATTAATTTAAATACTACTAGACAGTGAAAACGAAAAACACATTAAATTACAACATTTAAACAAAATTATATCTAAAATCCAAGTCCCTAAGATTCATACTGGTGAACTTACAATTTCATATTTTTTTGATAACCCCATTTTTTTAACTAAACTTAACTTAAAAACTACACGGTTTTGAAATCTTAGTAAAAGCAATCAGTCAAGATTTTGCACTTTTTAACAATGATTGATTAATTAATTGATTGATTGTTCTATGTTTAACGCCACATTATGAAAAGGTAACGCCAGCAGTTACACATGGCACCTTGCGTGGATAGCGGAGAAGTTTCTACGAGGTCAGTAATCGAAACCACGTGGTTAGCTCGCTAGCACGAGACCACCGAAGCGCTTGCAATGAAAATGTGTATACTATGCGTTAGAGTTATCCTTCTTCAAAAAGAGGCAAAAGATACCAAAAGGGACATTAAAACTCATAAGTCGAAAATAAACTGCCAGCGCCATGGCTAAAAAAGAAAATATAAAAACCAACAGACAAATAATAGTACACAAACACAACATAGAAAACTAAAGACTGAGCAACACGAACTCCACCTTAAACTGGGAGTGATCTCAGGTGCTCCAGAAGCGTAAGAAGATCCTGCTCTTTATATAGCACCCGTCGTGTTGCTCAAGTTAGTACAAACCGGGCAATAAGTCTAATTCGGGAGGTTACATTCGGGAAAAGGGGACGGGATTGTAGTTACGACATTAGGAACTTGACGGGAAGACGAGTTTGTGGTAATCTATACATAATGGACTGATCCGTTTACTGATTTGGTACTCTTGAAGTATAATGAATTGGCCGTTGAACATAAACAAAATAATTTGGGTGATGTTGACATGTTGATGAGGTTGATTTTGAGTAGTTGTTTGAATTGTACTATTTACATTTTATAGATTGTATATGTTAACTTAAAGAATTTGTCATTTTAGACAGTTTGATTCATTGAACATAAAGACTTTAAACTAGAATCAATAGCCATGATCCACTAAAGAGCGTAATCTCTTCACGAATTTCGATTCCATGAGTCAACTGTCCCTACTGTTGTTTGTCTTTTTCTTTTATGCCATGGCGTTGTCAGTTTATTTTCGACTTAATAATAAGTTTGATGGTCTCTTATTCATCTTTCGCCTCTCTTTTAAATGAAATTAATTCTTCATGATACCATGATACTGAATAGAGAGAAACTCAATAGCAAAATTTTCAACACTGAAATAGCTACAGATTTTGATCCATTTTTGCCAAAACTATAACAGATAGAGAATATTCAAAGAGTAAAATTTATCAACAACATCAGATCAACAAATCAGTCAACATTGTTGAAATAGTCAACTGACCTCTTACAGAGTAGTTGCCCTTGAAAGACAATTTTTACCCCTTTGTGCATGTTTTCGAAAATTTATGATAGATCATGTAAATAGACAGGAAATACATATAGCAAACATGTTAAGCTAAAAAATGATCTACAAATCAGTCAACATAGCCGAAATCGTAAATGCATTTCTTATTGGAGTTATTATATAATAACTTACACCTTAAATAATTAGTTTTCCCCATTAATTTTGGGAAACTGCAGCAGAAAAATAGAATCTTCAAATAGCAATAATGATCAGCACAATAAGATGTATGAATAAGTCAACACGACCAAAAGGAATTCAATTGATTACTTATAGGATTTGTACCCTTACACGATGATTTTGACCTGGGTTTTTTACAATTGCTTTTTTGCATTATTAATTTTTTTTTATCAGCATACAATTAGATACACATCAGCCAACATGTAGGAAATATTCAACTGACTGACCCCTTTAAAGGAGTTATTGTCCTAGCATGGACAATGAGTTTTTGGTAAATTTTGTATTTTTTTCAGAAACTTAAATTTCTGTTTATAATCTGTAAAACGTAAAAAAGATATACAGAAATGGGCTCTTGGCAAAAATATCACCAATAAAAGGCTTTGATACATTCAACACACAAACTGTTGTTGCATTGTATATTTTTTCTGGACCAGGTGAGCGATACATGCTCATGTGAGCCTCTTGTTGACCTTGATTAAAGAGCTATTGTACACAATTCCTCCCAAATTAGTTTCTAGATGGAATAATATAAATTTAGATTTAAAATCCACACATCATAAGGATCATTCATGTCAAGGTTTTTTTATATTAGCTTATAGTAGTTTACATGTTCCGATCTCTGAAACAATATATGCAATACAATGAATAAAAAGGATAAGTTAAAGGCAATAACATCAACAAATGGCCAATGCACAGATTTTGGTCATGTGACTTGTTTATATACCCAGCCTAGATAATTTATATTGAATAAAGATTTTGTCTAGCAATAATTTTTTTTTTAAAGTAAACCGCTTTAATTGGTCAACTATTTAATATGATGTATATAAACAGTAAACAGATAGTTTCCGTTTATCTATTAGTATTCAAGTTTTCAGGTTAAAAACTAAAACTCAAAAAAAATAGTCAACAAATTCTTTAATACTTGGATAGTAGCTTCTACAAGGGGGCATAGGTTAGTTTTTTTGATACTATCAGATTGGTTGATCCTTTATCTCTGATCATTTTCGATGTTTACAGTTCTATCTTTCTATAGTGTTTAAGGTAATTGCAGAAATACTGAAATTGATAAAAAGTGAATGCAGGGTTTCAACAATATTGGCATTTTTATAGATTTGTTTTTATGTTAAGTTTATAATTTTGTTCCTTGTTGTACAAAACACTAAAAATTGTAAATTCCTGGTCTCAGTCATACATGTATTCATTGGTTTATTTATAGATTATGTTTTGCTGATACAGTTTCTGTCTAGCTATTAATGTTTTCAATTGTTTTGCAGCATCTGCGCAGTTTGAGGAGGTCCTTAATAAAAGGCTTTTGAAGACATATGAGGAGTCAAATACTATTTTTAGACTTCTTGCCTAGTAGATGCTGATCAACGTTGCACATTTACACTTTCTGTTTTTTGTAGATAACAGACAAAAACGGTAAAACTGGTAAAAATTGTCATTTAAAGACAATAACTCAAAACATGTACTACTTGGAGTCGTCTGACTATTTGATCGAAATGGAAATCAGATAGATCATATCTTTTTGAGCCTTTGAAGTCCTATCGGATTGACACTATCTATGATTGAATTTCAAAAATAGAGATAGTATACCAAGAGAACCAGGTAAATAACAACTATTGAAAAGTCTACACATAGACTGAATGGATCTAAATCGACTGTAAGCGAATTGTCTGAACAGTACGCAAGAGACTGAAATGATCATAATAATACATTGTTCTGTCTTTTAAGATCTACTCAGGTCAAAATGAGCGATTCAGATCAACATTCGTTTACAAGTGTTAGCGCAATAAAAACCAAACGTCGAATAAAACAGATAAAACAATGGCCAAAAATGAAAACTTAGGTCGAAAAGACAAAGTCTTCAAAGTACACACAAGCCTTCACAACAAAAGAAAAAGTGAGCAACACGAACCCCACTAAATGACGAGGGCAAGCAGTTCCTGCTTGCTCCACTAGTGACATTGCTTTTGTCTTGGTCCTCTTGAAAAGACATTCCAAAATTCATTGATATAAGACTACAGCCCTTATATAGTGAAAACTTCCCAATGAAACGTGTAAGTTGCAAAGGTGTAATTAGTGTTTAGAGTAAGTTAGCATGCATTTACAAGAAACATCTTCAAATCTTCAATTCTGTACATCCACGGGGACTTGCTGAAACATAGCTTAAATAGTCAGTGAAAATGTTGCAAAAACATAGATTTTTCCAAAATTTTTCCTTCGTGCGTGTCCGTGGGACAGTTTCTTTTTCTAATGAAACGTATGCTTTAAATATTAAATGGATATCAAAAGTTACATCCCGTGCACCATAGATTGTACTTAAAAAAAAACCAAAGCAAGAATAACAAGAACCTTTTTAAACAAAACTAGGAGCGATCTCAATCTAAGGTCGTCATTGTTAATTACAACAATATTACGGGGATACTTACCTATTCTATGACTTCAGTGGTTACCTTGACTGAATTAAAAAAATATAAAAATAACGTGTGATAACGATACTTCATGATATGATATATATAGATTCTACCACTGCATCGAGTGTGATACGATATTTATCCACTCGAGACAGTTAAATTTTCAAATTTAAAACGCGAGGCTCGCCGGGCGTTTTAAATATTTAGAATTTAACTGTCGAGAGTGGATAAATATCGTATTACACGAGATTTGGTGGTGGAATCTGTTTCTCTAATGATTTTCAAACAATATGCAGGCAAAGTTATTCCGTCTTTTCGAATGATCTGTAAAAACATGTGTTCTTTCTATGTGACGTCATCAGGCATGGTCGCCTTTTTTCATGCCGTCACAATAGGAAATTCAGAGGAAAGCAAGTAAATTCGACGTCATAATCGGATTTCAACCAATGAAGAACTTATATCAAACGAACCACACGTTGATTAAATTTTTTTTATACAATGGGTGCAGAAAGGGATAAATTGTCGAAGAATTAGAGAAAAATATATATATATATACCATTTGATATCTTAAACTATGTCTGTACATGCATTTAAACAAACAATGTATCACTGTATCTATATTTTAATAGGTATTGTGCAACATGGACGTCATTCTACTTCCTGCATTTAATTTTTGCTTCTTCTCCATGTTTGCATTATTGAATTTTGAGATTGCTACAGTACATACATATGGTAATGGTATGTTATTAACTGCAAGCTAACATAATATAATCAAATCATTATGATAATAAGTTTAAATATTCATACAACAGCATATTCAGTGAGAATCTAAAGGACCTCTAAAGCTTAATGAAAGCAATCAGAAAAGTTTGAAAATCTATTTTACCGAAGGCAAAAAAAAAAACCAAAAAGAATAAAAATGAAAAATAAAAACCGATTGTATATTTTCTACCTATAAGTTGTATTGAATTTCATAAATTGTAATAAGTATTTATGTTCCGTGTTTAAATAAACAACGAATTTAACGAGTGAAGATCTCATCTGATCATCTGATTGCAAGTGCCAGGCTACATAATAACACGTCTGTAGTACATACAGAACGACCGAAGAAGCGACGCAATCTTATCTTGCAATCGACCTTTCCAATATACAAATAAAGGTGTACAGATAACACAAAGCGATAAACTCATATTATAGTCTCTTGGTATCCTGCTTTTCTTGCAGGCGAACAGTTATATTGAAATTACTGTTTAAATCACATTTGAAATTGGGGTTCTCAATGCGGTCCACGTTTACATATAAGTCATGTCGATTTCATTCCAAAACAAGTTTAACGATTTGGATTGAATACAACTGCATTTTATCAAAGAAGCTAGATCATTTTATTTCACATTCAGATATATTGATGATGTTCTTTCCATTAACAATCCAAACTTTTCTGATTGGGTTCCATTAATATAACCTCCAAAACTAGAAATTAAAGAAACAACAGGCACGGCTACCTCTGCCTCATTTTTAGTCCCCTACCGACGAAGTCGAAGGGGACTTTAGGTTTGCACTCCGTCCGTATGTCTGTCTGTCTGTCTGTCTGTCTGTCTGTCTGTCTGTCCATCCGTTAGTCCAGCAAATCAGTTGTCCACATTTTTTTTCTTCATGATTGAAGATATTGATTTGATAGTTGGTACATTGTTTTATCATGACAAGTTACAGATCAAGTTCGAATTTTGTTCTGGTCTGATGATTTTTTGCAGAGTTATAGTCCGTTGACTTAAACAATTTACTTAAATAATCAGTTATCCGCATTTTTTTGTCATTCTTGAGGATATTAATTTGATAATTGGTATATAGTTTTATTAGGACAAGTTACAGTTCAAGTTTGAATTTTGTTCCGGTCTGACGATTTTGTGCAGAGTTATGGTCCTTGGAAAATTCACTTAAATAATCAGTTTCTACACTTTTCTTCGTCATGCTTGAAGATATTGACTTGATATTTGTTATATAGTTTACACCATGACAAGTTATAGATCAAGTTAGAATTTTGTTCCAATACAATGAATTTTTAACCGATAGGGGACTATGTATTGCCATGCAATACTCACAGAAATGCTTGTTAGACTTATACCTCGAATTTGACATAAGCGGTCATCTCAGTACCAGAATCTATGACAAACGAGACGATTTTAATTTTGCAATTATCAATTTCTCCCACCTTAGTAGCAATATACAAACTTTATATGGGATATAAATTTCCCAACTCACTTGGTATTCAAGAGCTTGTAGCTGCTACTCAAACTTTGTAAAACGTCACCAGTGTCTGAGCAAAAAGTTGATGAACCAGGGGTATGTCAAAGAATGTCTCATCCTTTCTCTAAAAAAGTTCATCGGAAGATACCAAGACCTTGTTGATGAATATTCCGTATCAACTTCACAAATAATACACGATGGTCTTGAAGTATAGACTCTACGTACTGACGTTGTTTATCATCTTAATAATGTGCTATAGTATTCTTTTATTTGTCTTTGTAAATTATTACTTTTACTGTTTAGTCTATTTTAGGAAATATCGATTGGACGTGGCTCGGTATTCTTGTCTTTCGTTTTTGCTATTGTGCTTTGTCTATATGCACTTTTGTTTTTCTTTGTTGACATATTTGTTTGTTTTTATAGTGATTAAGATTATAACACAATGTTGACTGCTGTACCCCTATTTTTGAAATTGTTACCTATTATATCTGTTTGTTTTGTTCACACATCGTTGTCAAATATAATGGAATTTTATGCGACTGTCATACAAGTAAGAGGTTTAGCTAGCTATAAAACCAGGTTTAATCCACCATTTTCTACATAAGAAAATGCCGGTACCAAGTCAGAAATTTGACAGTTGTTATCCATTCGTTTGATGTGTTTGAGCTTTTGATTTTGTCATTTGCTAAGGGACTTTCCGTTTTGAATTTTCCTCGGAGTTCGGTATTTTTGTTATTATACTTTTTATACGTTTAAGCTCAATGTTGATTGCAGGATGAAAACAATATTCGTACAGTGTAGGAAAGTATAAAATGTATTTGTACTCGCTATGATCTAGGAGGAAAGTTCTCTCTGTTTCTAAAGCTCGTCAAAAAAATTATATATTAGCCTATACTGTACGAATATTGTATATATCATCAACATAAGTGCACTGAAGTGGTTATCTGTTGTAAACCATTCGATTTCACGCCGATTGCATTAACATACAATATTTTGGAGATTACTTTCTCTCCACATGCTACAGATGTAGTTTCAGCTAACGTGGAGTAAATTAACAAAACTGTATGATTTAATTTTCAAATCTTGCACTAGCGAAATCAGATTGTTGTTTCTATCATTTCTTGACGATCATGCTTGTATTCGTAAATTCAAGAAATTATAATTATAGGAACGACAATAAGCCAACTATACAAAATAAAGTTTACTGTTTAAACAGATAAAAACAACTTTTAAAATGTGATATCAACATGCATCAAGCCCGTTATTTAGTATTAAGTTTTAACTTTTTTTAGTAACACTGAATTTCCAACCAGAAATAGTACGCATGCATCAGAATATAAACATTACATGTACAGTTCATGGCATAGACAATATTAATAATAAACTGACGAGACAGTGGTCTAAAGGACCAGATCTGATCTGTTACAATGGTCATCCTATTGATTCTTCTAAGTACACAGAGACATTACCATCTGGGAACCAATTCATACTACAGATAAGAAATGTAACCGAGTCGGATGTAAACTGCAAGTACCAATGCCGGTACGGGTTCGAAGCACAAGCAAAGAGCATACAATTCTCGAAGGAAAACTTCGAATGTAAGTATATAGACATAGTTTAATAGTATATCGTAGATCGTATTGAAATGGGTAAGGGTATATATATAAATGTATTTTCAGCCTAATTTGTTCCTATTTTATGCACAGCGTGGACACATTTTATAACTTTTCAATATCTATATATAAAGTAGTGTTTGATAAACATCAATGAGAGAGCAAACTTAATCTAGCAAAGCAACAAAAATCGACATGCAGAAATAATCTTGGATTTTAATATACATGTAATTTCAAATGTTTCGCATTAACTTAAAAAAATCGGATCTCAATTTTATTTCGACATCTTCTATTGCATGTAAAACAACACTTTTCAATACATTTGTCCCTGAATGACAATCTTATATTACCTTGCTTTAAACAACATTGTGATGCATTGAAAAAAGGACCAAATAGCAAATAAACACCAGCAGAATTTAATTCACAATAAAAAAAAAACACAGTAGGTCGGACAATGCACCTCAGAAAACAGCAACATAATCCAACAAAACCCAATCGAATGTCGAAAACGCATTGCCATGCTAGAGCTTTTTTAACCAATTTAAACAGTCTCCGGCATGACTTTTATTTGTAAAGTCATTTGTGAGTATAGTTTGGAAATAAATAATCCGTTATTAGTATCGATCTAGCTCAGTAGTGTATAAAATTCGCAACTGTTCATATGGAATAATAGAATATAGGCAATTTGTTGCGGACAACAATATGAGGACATACAACGAAATAAAGAGGAGACACTATATATCAACAAAAAAACCAGGCACCTTTATTATCTTTTCTTAAATTTTAGAAATGATTTAAATTCATTTCGATTAAAACAAAGTTGAATATTAAACGTGGTGACATACTAAAGTTAATGTTTTAAAATGACAGTGATATGAAAAACTATAACAGAATACATTACCAAAAAGGTCAAACAAACACTCAGAACATAAATATCTGATGATTTTAGATCCTCCAGCAAAAGAGGTGAGAGCTATTGTTCAAATAAACGAAACGGATAGACGTTTAACTGTCAATCTGCACTTTAAGAAAGTATTCCCATTGCCAACATGTACTGCTTTAATTGGGGTAAGTTTATAAACAAAGGCAGGTTTATTGATGTGGATCTCCTACTACCGGTCGAATATTTCAAAAGTACCTTCTTCAGATCATCCAGATCAAACAAATTATAATGACAACTTTGAAAAAAAATTCGTAAGGGTTCCGCGGAACCCAGTGTCTCGCCTACTTTTGCTGTTAATCGCAGGCTCAACAAAAATGAGGAAAAAAATTAATAAAAATATCCTCTCTATACTATCTTTGATTGTAATTAGCTTCTGTCTAAGTTTGGTAAAAATCCAGGATAGTTTATGAATCTAATAAATGTTTTAAAAACTTAAACTGCAGACTGTATGTAATGTTAACTGGAAGAAAAACAAAGTCCATTTATAAGTATAAAACGGAAAAAATGGAACAAAATTTTAACAAAATTTCCTTCTAGATACTAGCTTTTAATCATGAACAAGCTTCTGTCCAAGTTTGGTACAAATCCAGGATAGTTTAAGAAAGTTGTTAAAATTTAAAAAAACTTTAACCACAGAGTGAATGTAATGTAAACTGGCAGAAAAATTAAGTCCATTTATAAGTTAAATACGGATAAACTGGATTTTATTTTACAAATTTTACTTCTGGATACTATCTTATGATCATAAACAAGCTTCTGTCCAAGTTTGGTACAAATCCAGGATAGTTTAAGAAAGTTGTTAAAATTTTAAAAACTTTAACCACAGAGTGAATGTAATGTTAACTGGCAGAAAAACTAAGTCCATTTATAAGTAAAATACGGAAAAAATGGAATTTCTTTTTTACAAAATTTACTTCTGGATACTATCTTATGATCATAAACAAGATTCTTTCCAAGTTTGGTAGAAATCCAGGATAGTTTAAGAAAGTTATTAAAATTTCAAAAACTTTAACCACAGAGTGAATATTTGTGGACGCCGCCGACGACAACGACGACGACGACGACGACGACGCCGACGGAATGTAGGATCGCTATGTCTTGCTTTTTCGACAAAAGTCGAAGGCTCGACAATGATGGAAAGATTTGAAGCATAGGGTATTTGTCTGTTCGACTTCCGCTGCTTATATTTGAATATGGATACTTCAGATGAATCAGTTGACTTTGTTGAATATGTTTTACCGTGTAGTTCGAAAATACATTGTCACTGTCGATTGGCGATGTGAAACCTGATATTGGAACTCCCAAACGAATTGACATCCATTCACAGAATTTTAAGTGTTGAACTATTTCTAACTGTCGAATTTTATGTGTGTAATTACTTAATCTAAAACACGAAAAAAAGGTTTTCCTCAGACGAAAAGCATAGAAACTCACCGTGTACCGTGTGGGATTTTGAAGGACAGCAGGATTGATAAAATGGTGACACACATTATACATTTTTTGTGCATTTATATATATATATATATATATATTTTATTTAAAATTTTTAATGTCAAATAAATCGAAAAGAAGCAATCAAAAAATTTGATTTGAACATCAGATCAGCATACTGTCACACTATCGATATGTTGTTAGCAATATTGTCAAAAGCACATCTTGTTTCAATTGAAAATTCAATGACGATTTTACTCTTTTGCTAACGGTGAAGTTGAACGAATTTCCCTGATTTGTGTTGACACACGAAATCGAGTAAAATTTAGTATGAGGGATAACATTTTCAGTCGCAGAAACTGAATTATGTAATTCAGCTAGCCATAAAACCAGGTTTAATCCACCATTTTCTATATACGAAAATGCATGTATCAAGTCAGGAATATGACAGTTGTTTTCCATTCCTTCGATGTGTTTGAGCTTTTGATTTTGCTATTTGATAAGGAACTTTCCGTTTTGAGCTTTCCTTGGAGTTAGATATATTTGTTATTTTACTTTTTATCCAACTTTTAGTGGTTTATTTAAACTTGTGCATGTTTGTAGTTAGTATGTTCTATTTAGCAACAACCAACGTTATTCCACAGAATATTGAAATCACAGTCACGAATAAGTCATTTTTTAAATTATTATTGCCCATATACAAAGCATTGATGGTTACGTAGACATCGCATGATAAGTCAATTATGCATATGTTGCTTACATGTTAATGTACAATAATGTTAGAAACCATTGAGGAGAACCTGATATAATTCATTTAATTATTCCTTATTGTCAAGGCCTTTGACTTGTTTTGCAGTTATCTATCTTTTTCTAAGATTGTAGTTTGATTTTTTTTTTGCATTGTTCTCGTTAGTATTCACGTTGGTTGGTCTTTCTAGCCAGTATTTGACAAAAATGTAAAATCTTATCAATTACAAATACGATTTTGTTCAAATACATATACATAGAGATAAGGTGATATGAGTAATACGTCTAAGAAACACCAGCCTTACAATCATATCGTATAGTTCATGAATACAAATAGCCAGAATTTTATTAGGAGCTTAGATCATCATGCATATTTTCAAAAGCATCATGTGGCTTTGATGAAAACCAAGTTCTTGTTGCTCCGACCGAAAATGCATTTATGTTTATTTTGAAATTAGTATTTCTAATATTTCAGGGTTCAATCTGTTCTTTTAATATAACATCATCTCAAAGCTTTGGAAACTATTATGAGGTAATTTTGCGACACCAATCTTTAGACAGACTACCGTGCAATGCGGATGTGATAGTAAAATGTAAATTAATACACGAGTACACCATTCCAACAGAAGATCTCCGGGCATGCTCATTAAAAGGTATTTATACTAGTATGATGCTTACTACTTAGACAAATAACGGTAGTATTGTTAATATTATTGTATTAACCATCTGATATATAATAAACGTTACAAAATGTTTTAACTCGAGGAAACATACCACATACCACATATTTTTTTTTTTTTTTAGTATCTTTTAATCTGTACAAGGTTTTTTTTAATTAAACAAAAGCGTTGTAGAAATTTTTAAGGGATTGGAAAGGAAAACGATTCAGTTCGCACTCTTGATTTTAGTGGAGTGACCAAGCCAACAAATTTTCAACTTTAATGGACCACCTTAACTGCAGGCTAAATTATGAATTTTCATTTAGAGAAATGTTATAACTTTAAAGTTTGCCTGGTCGTAGAATCGTAAAATGGTTCAAATTTGTAAGATTTGAGGTCAAAGTTCGGAAGTTGAGTTTTCCATTAGTGTAAAGAAAAATTCACAAGGGGTTATAAAAAGTCAGGAAATGATATCAGAATTGTGAAATAGGCATGACATTACTCCTTTGACGAAAGAATAAACAATAGCAGTTCACTTTCGAGTCAATTTGAAGAAAAATGTTATCACCAAAGGCGCATTTTAGGAAAATTTAGGTGGGCAACAAGAACAAGGCAAAGACAAAACAGGAAATGGATTTCAATTGATATTTTGTACATTACATGTACATTTAAAGATATATATCTGGTTTTCACACGGTTTCTTAAGAAAGAATCGAAGTTTATTTTGTTTTTGTTCAATGATATACCGGTTGCAAGCGGCAAATATTTCACTTAGTAACCGAATAAAATGGTTTAAATGAAGTTCTAATAGGTAAACATATATTTTTCTGTTGTGAACATTGAGATTGTATGGGCAGGAATTTTACATCAGCAGCATACTATAGTCCTCTCAGAAAGAGCTGCAAGGGTCTTTTAAATGCAAAGTGTACAACATTTTCAGAAAACTGGCCTTACTTCTCATTGTTTTTCCCTGGGTTTAAAATTAAACATAGTCAAAGATGTAACCACCATCCATGAGTTCTACTGTAATGTGTGTATACGAATTAATTTTCCAATATTTCTGACTTTACATAATTTGTTTAGATATCGTTTTCATCGTCGTCTTCTTCAGAAACTGCTTTGTGAGATGATTTCTACATCCCTCAGACCATCCACACGATCGAATACAACTTTTTTTTCAAGCTCGTTACCCTTGCATGTAAAAACAAGGTATTGAAGGAATTAAGATGACATAGGTCTCTCGATGAAAATCGCTATGTGTTCTTAATTCTTCAGGCAAATGTGTGATCTTTATAAACAGTAAAGAAATCACCAAAGTCTTTAGTGCTTTTGGACAAGACAAAACATGAATTTCGACAGTCAAGGAACGCCGTCCATACTTTTGGTTCAATGCTTTTTATACAGTTTATGTTTCTTTATCATTTGAACAATGCTTTAAATAAAGGAGCCATGAGTGCATCATAGGGCAGTATTAATTCTGAGACACTACGATTAAACTGTTCGCAAATAAGAATACGCCTACTGTATTTCGAGCATAAACTCCAGTTAACACATATGTCATCTAGCCTAGCTGAATTTAATAACTTACTGATTGTTGCTATAAAAGAAAGACAAAAGCCAATGATATTCTTATATTATTATAAACGTTTGACATAGGAAATATTTCTTATTGGGCATCAGCATGCAATTGCTGGTCAAACGTTTGCACAGCATTTTGCTGAATATATCCAAACATTATTTCATAGGGATATATTTAATAAACTGTTGCTATGTTTGGTGTATATGACTGGAGCATAACGTAGAAAAGTATATACAAATTTTAATTCTTTTAGCCTTTTATAAGCTGGTCCTAATTCGGGAAAATCGTGTCAGTGTTTTCTGCAGAAATAGGTATTGGATCTAAGTTTTGTTTGAAATAAGTTGGAAAAATATCCAAGACTTGTCCGAAGTATCGATTTTTTCCTTAAAACAAAACCGAATCTCCTCATAAGCATAAACAAAACAAGGTCAATAAGTTGTTTTAGCTTGTCCATTGGTAATAATGTCAAAAGTTTGTTATTAGAATCATCATACGTCAAAGATCTGTCTTGTTCAAGCTCAATTTTAAAGGGACTTATGATAACGTTTGAAGTGTCTGTTTCCTACTGAAAGACAGCCATAAGTTTGGAGTGAAAATTATTTCTACCATCAATTGTCTCAGCATTGATGTCAATATAATAAGTTCCGCTTATATTATACAAACACCTTCTTTAAATGCAGCAGGACCCTAAGGTAAATATGACATGTTTGGATTGTGCCTATTTCCTAATTTTCTAAGCTAGTGAGATATTTTCGTACTTCCGAGTATCATGAACGAAAGCCGTGGGAATTAAGATTGACATTTCCATTATTTTTGTCCAAACTCATGGTGTAGTTTTAGATAAATTGGTATAAAAAATAGTTGCTTAATGTAACTGCACATTCTGCTATTGCTAAGATTTTAAACATCTTGTCATCGAGAAGTTTAGAAGTTACTGTAAAGACCCTCACCATTGTAAGCTTAAACATCAACTATCCACAACAAGAACTTCGTAAGCAAGCAAAAAGTAAAATCACAAAAATACTGAACTCCGAGGAAATTCAAAACGGAAAGTCCCTAATCAAATGGCAAAATCAAATGATAAAACACATCAAACGAATGGACAACAACTGTCATATTCCTGACTTGGTACAGGCATTTTCAAATGTAGAAAATGGTGGATTGAACATGGTTTTATAGCGCTAACACTCTCACTTGTATGACAGTCGCTTCAAATTCCATTATATTTACAACGATGCGTGAACAAAACAGACATAATAGGTAACATTGTCAAAATATGGATATAGCAGTCATCACTGTGTCACAATCTCAAAACAAACAAACATTTAACAAAGAAGCACAAAAAGCATCTATCAAATTTGACAACCACATTCATTGCTTACTTATATATGTATTATAAATCAACCCATAAAGGATTGTTGTATGGAATATGAAATGCATATTTCAGATGTTGTTGGGTTAGTCCCATTTGTTGGTTCTAAGGACTACATTTCAGTAGGAACTATTGAAGCTCCTGCATGTAATGTTTGGTCTTCATTGCTAGTTAGTGTCTTAATTTCAATTTCAATTTCTGTCAGCATTTATCCATATTTTACATGGTAAGCTGCTTGAAAGGCTTCCGAAATCAGTCAAATACTGAACCCAACATTTGATTCTCCCAGCCCTTTTTGTTTCCGTATTACTATTTATTTTGCAGAAAGTTTTTCAAACTTGCACCATAGCTTTGCTGAATCGTACTTTGTTTTCAATTCATGAAGTAGGAAGCAGCAGTATTGATCAGTATTTTACAAAAAAGAAAAGACATGACAAAGGCTTTTTGTGCACAAGCAGATCATCAAGGATAACACAAAACAGACAATGCGAAGCCTTCTCGTACATGTAAAACATTCAACTCATCGTTAAATCTTCTTTCTTCGGATTGCTAAGTTGATACAGAGCAAACCCTGTAGTAAAGGGCCTTGGTTTTAAACTCTTGTGAACATGGAGTGACTTTATTTCTTAATGTCGTTTAGATAATTTTATTATTTTGTGGAGCCCTTCATCAGATTCAGGGAAACGTAGATGTTTATCGCGTTTCTACGATTTGTGCTTGCAGAACATATAGCAGTCAAGTCAAAAGGCATGGGCATTTATCTAGTCAGAACAGACTAGGATATATAATAAAAACGATTGCGAAGATGTCAGCATTATTGGACTACGATACGTAGATATATTGTCAAAAATTTATCAGTCGAAATCTTTTTTGAAAACATTGTTGAATAAACCTGTGATACACAAATTTATATCAATACTAACATATTTAATATGCAAAAACACGAACAGTAGTATGATGAATTTCTGAAGCGATTCGTCAGTAAAAAGTAAATTTACATCGTATTGGTAGGAGAAATATATCCGGAAATCCATAGAATTATAATGTATATTAAAATATGTCGAAACACGCGAATTTATTAGAAAAACTGAGCCGGAGAGGTCTCATAACTGTACAAATTGAAGTTTTATTACTTTTTAGCGCAAAAAATTTGAAAGATACCGATGCAATGTAAATTTACAAATGTTGTAACCATTCCATGGAAATAGAACTAAGTGAAAACGAACAAAAACAAGGCAAAATAGAAGAAATCATAGTTTTTTCAATATAAGTTAGTTCTTAAATTTTCATAAAATGCCAAATCAAGAGTTTGATGACTATAAAAACAAACACAAGTAAAATAGTTTGTCGAGTTACATTTTGAATGAGAAAATCAAAATGTCTTTTTATTTCCATTTTATGAAAAAATGCACCGTAGGAAATGGCTACGGCCGGGTAAAAAAGTAAGATTAATGTATTAGCTTTGCAAATAAATCATTTTCAGCCTGTAGTTATGCCGGTCCATAAAAGTCGTAAAATTAGCACCTTTTTCTTGATTTGTCACTCCACTATTTCGTCAGGAACAAATTGCAGGTATACATGTGATAATTGATTACAAATGACAGAAACTAATGATACATATTTTGGAAGTCGTTCAATTTTCTTAACATCAAATTACATGACATTGTCTTTGTGTTTTATTTATGTCAAAATTAATTTTTCAATCATAGCCACTATTCCTTTTTTTCAGGAATGTTAATGCAATCCGGATCTTTTCAGTCGCCTGTGCACATGACGTGGTGTTTCTGTTAAGACCACACTGGTGCTATATGAAGCTTGTATTTCAAATCAAGCAGTTACCAAAGTTAATAATTCTAATGCACATATACATTTGGTAAATGTTAAAGTTGCTTTTCACTTTGAGTTTTCCATTTTTTGTCGTTCCTGCGACATTTGTCGCAGAAAGCTCGACATAGGGATAGTGATCCGGCGGCGGCGGCGGCGGCGGCGGCGGCGGCGTTAGCTAATTTCTTAAAAACTTTGTATTTTAGAAGGTGGAAGACCTGGATGCTTCATACTTTGTATAAAGATGCCTTATGTTACGAAGTTTCCGTCTGTCACATGTCCATTGTTCATGACCTCATTTTCATGGTTCAGTGACTACTTGAAAAAAAGTTAAGATTTTTTGTAATGTTAATTTCTCTCTCATAATGAGTAATAGGATACCTCTATTTGGTATGTGCGTACCTTGCAAGGTCATCATGCCCGTCAGATAGTTTTACTTGACCTCGGCCTCATTTCATGGATCAGTGAACAAGGTTAAGTTTTGGTGGTCAAGTCCATATCTCAGATACTAGAAGCAATAGGTCTAGCATATTCGGTGTATGGAAGGACTGTAAGGTGTACATGTCCAACTGGCAGGTGTCATCTGTCCTTGACCTCATTTTCATGGTTCAGTGGTTGTAGTTAAGTTTTTGTGTTTTGGTCTGTTTTTTCTTATACTGTATGCAATAGGTCTACTATATTTGGTTATGGAATGATTGTAAGGTGTACATGTCTAGCATGTCTAGCTGGTAGGTGTCTTCTGACCTTAACCTCATTTTCATTGTTCAGTGGTCAATGTTAAATTTTTGAGTTTTGATCTTTTTTTTTTCTTATACTATATGCAATAGGTAAGCCATATTTGGTGTATGGAAATATTTTATGATGTACATGTCAGTCTAGCCGCTTTTATTTCACCTTGACCTCATTTTCACGGTTCATAGCTCAGTGTTAAGTTTTTGTGTTTTGGACTGTTTTTTTATTATTATAAGCAATAGGTCAACTATATTTGTTGTATGGAAGGATTGCAAGCTGTATATGTCTGCCTGGCATGGTTCATCTGACCTTGACCGCATTTTCATGGTTCATTAGTTAATGTTTAGTTTTCTTGGTTAAGTCTGTATCTTAGAAACTATAAGCAATAGGTCAACTATATTTAGTGTATTGAATGATTGTAAGGTGTTCATGTATTTCTTGTTTGGTTTATATGACCTTGACCTCATTTTCTTGGATCATGTTAAGTTGATGTGATAATAGTAGTAAAGCTTTATATTTAGAACTATCAACATACTATCAATGATTAGTAAAGAAGGCGAGACATTTCAGCGTGTGCACTATTGTTTAGATTAATTGTCATGAAATCAAACGGAAGGTTATTCAGGTTAAAACTTACATCATTCCTAATCGGTAATGACTTCTCCATACATGAGAAAAATATTCAATTGCATTCGTGATATGCAGCGAAAACCCAAAAGATTTCTTTATTTTTTTCACGATTAATTGTTGTTTTACATTTTCTACTCCCAAATATTATAAAGAGTTCTGACTATAGGAGTGGGAGATATGTTGCATCACCTTGTCAATATGTAAGTTTGTCGTCCAACAAATATGCCTGTCAAATTTTTCTCATGTATTTCCTGTTTTTCGATACTTTGAATATTTCAATATGTTTAATTAACTTAACTTTTTTCGTCATTGATTTTTTTACAATACTACTGAATATTTGGTCAGTACCCTGTTAAAACATGTCACACTCATACTTTATGTTTGCTAAAATTTTGAGAATATATTGAAAGAACTTTAAAATTACGTCATGCATTCCTCTAGTGCTACTCAACACAATCAGTTCATATTTGGTCCGCTACCTGAACTCATATACAGATGACTCAGGAACTAAAGTTTCCGCCTGGCAATCATGTCGGTAATTTATTAATCATTTTCATGATTCAGTGACTTCTTAAACAATGCATAGGATTTTATATCAAGTGTTTTTGTTCAGTTATATCAGCACTTTTTAGTTTAAAGAATAATTGCAAGAAATCGTGTTCGTTAGATATATTCGCCTGACCTTCCCTTCATTTCATCGATCAGTGATTAATGATGGGTTCCGTGTTTAGGTCCGTTTCAGATACTATATGTAAAATATATTGGTTGCATATAATGATTCATGGGATTGTTAAATGTGCATGTACGTCAGACATTTTAAGCCTAGTACCTTCTGCTAGCTATTATTCGTGTGTTTCTTTGTCCTATATGTTCTCCCATTTATTTGTATTGTGGTCCTGTCATTTGATGTTGTCGTTTTGGTGTTGTGTTTGACGTGGCCATAAAAGCGGGAGGTTTGGCATGCCACAAAACCAGGTTCAACCCACCATTTTTTTCTTAAAATGTCCTGTACCAAGTCAGGAAAATGGCCATTGTTATATTATAGTTCGTTTCTGTGTGTGTTACATTTTAATGTTGTGTTTTTGTTGTGTCGTTGTTCTCCTCTTATATTTGATGCGTTTCCCTCAGTTTTAGTTTGTAACCCGGATTTGTTTTTATCTCTAACGATTTATGAGTTTCGAACAGCGGTATACTACTGTTGCCTTTAATAAGGTCACTATGATCTTGACATTATTTTCAGGTTTCTTTGTTCAACTTTAGGTCTTCTCGATAAGACGGTTATGTAGATACTTTAAGTTATAAATAAGTGAATTAGAACGTGTTAGACCACCAATTTAAAACCATAAAATATTCAATAATTTTTTTCAATTTTTTACAGCTTTCTTATTTTTTTTTAATTTCATGGAAACCAGGTATATCCTGAATTGTACTTGATCACCTTTTTACATGCCAATATTCAACCAATGTTTAAAATCTTGTAATTAAACACCAATGATCGGAAGCCAATTGTTACTAAAAGTTTCCTCTGGTTTTCTTGAGAATCTAAAGTAAGAATACTATGAAGTATACTTATCCTTAATTTTAAATGCAAAATCATGGACAAGTATATTTTGGATCGAGAGGGTAAACATAAATTTTTCTTTCACCAAAAGTTCATTTCTGCTAATTCGTCTGTTATCTTCAGTAAACAATGACACCGAAAACCCTTTCAGTTGCCAGGGAAGGACTGTCTTGTGTATTTTTTAAATTGGAGTGGGTGAATAGATGGTTTAATACCTAAACTCTATGTAGAGACTTATCTCGATTTGTTTTTTTTTTTATGACCGACTAACGCATGGTAACCTCTCAGGTCAACCGGCGTAAATGACGTAACAGCAAAATCTGTTCTTATTGTGATGTAACAATAATTGAGTTGTGAAATAGTAAATTTACGAGAACATGCAGGAATTTGAAATTTGACTAAAGAATGTTAGTAACGTTTGAATGTCCGACAGACAATGTAACTCTGTCCTCATTTGCACGGTTCTTTAATCCAAGTTAAGTTTTGGTGATTATGTTCGTTACTGTAAATCGTAGTTCAATTATAATTGATTATTTGATTATAAAATGATTGTTTGATTTATATATTTGTTTTCAGAGTTAATCTTGTGTTGATTTTATTGCTTTAAAGAAATATTACATTTCTCTGTAAAGTCATTACATTTTGTAGCTGTTCATTGTATGAATACCAATCACAGAACCGAATGTTTTATATGAAGATGCAAAGGTCATTGTAACTTCTTAGTAATACAATCAAGCTTTTATCTTTTTATCGTTGACGTTTGCAGATATTTCGTTGTACAAATGCTGTATATACATGCAATTACACTGATGCTGTCTCTGAAAAGAACCCTTTCGTTTAATACAAATTTTATAAAAACAAACACAAAGAATTAAAAAAAAAAAAAAAAAAAACTAGTTAAATGTCACAAAATGTTCATGATGATACGAATATAACACATTTTATCGCGATTGGCTCATATTAAGATTGTTTGAATACTTTATTGGTACGAAGTGAATAATAGCTTTATTAAACAATGGTCTCGATCTAGAAAAGCGGAGCCAATTGTCTGAAGAAAAAAATCAATATTAGGTAAATTAAATTTACCTTCTGTCACCAATTTTTATAAGAACATAATTATATCACTGTTTCTAACATGCTAAACGAGTATGCTGTTTGTGTTTTAACGAAACTATATTTCATCCCAATCCATTGTGCCATTGAGGTCAAGATGATTTCTAAAGTTATGTATTATAAATTTTTTCCTGAAGCATAAATGTCTCTTTGCATATGTTGAAAAATTAGCTACACTGACAAAGACAGCTTATTATTAGTTAAGTTAAACTGCTCATGATAATTGTTTAAAAGTAGTTATATCCAGTGCATTTGAAGATGAAACTGCATAATTTACAGTTTCGGTATACATGTTAAGCTATTCTTCTTTTTCAGAAAATCCATCCAAAGAATCAAGACTTGTATTACTCGGAGTATTTATTCCCATAATACTGCTTATAGTATTACTTGTATTTTTGATAATCTCATATCGAATGAAAACATCACATGTAGATGGTAAGCCCAATAAAATCCTTTATATTGTCAAGCAATATTTGATGTAAAAATTGATTTAATTATGACAATTGAAACTTAACTGTAACCGCCTATCTGTTACAACTGCCTATATGTTACAACTGTTAAATTTTGTAAAGTTCATTTTTTAGGGATTTGATACTTAAGTAATTCTAAAAAAAAAATGCATTTTGTATTCGAACGACATAAATGTCTTTTTTAACCCTGTTGTGTGATGTTAAAACAATATTTTAATAAATATACCTTTTTATCTAAAACAAAAATAGATCTTATGTAACCTTCACTACGTAATGTTCACAATATAGTGTTCTTATTCTTGTAATGAAATTACCCTTCTCTTTCAAATATGCCAGGTGATCCATGAGCCTGAAAGGAAATTCCGTTTGTAATTCAAAATTTATTTCTGGATGAAATTGATAAATGGGAAAACCAAAAGTGGAATCAAAATATCTATCAGTTTGTTTTATATAGAACTGAAAATTTATAGTTCAAATGAAGAAACTCGAAAAAAAACCCCAAAAATATGTTTTTCTTATTACAGGGTGGGAGATTGCAAATTGTCATAAACTGGGAAGGCCTTGTCTTACAACCAGTAAAGGAGAAAGCAACTCGATTAGCAGGATGAGCTCCAGTACATCCAACATGTCCAATATAAACTCAGATGAAAGTTTAGATCTCTTGGAAGCATGCCTTGAGAGAGAGAAAGGTAGGTGTAATGACTCCAACTGTTAACTGTTGCGCGTAATGTTTTTACATTAAACGTTCAATTCCAGAATCTCCTTATTTTACAGTTCCGAGTAAAAGCACATTAAATATGTGTATACAAATTCAACGATGTGTTAGGTAGATATGAGAAAGCAATCACATATTAGAAATTACAAAAAGGCAAAAACACATTACAAGAACGGTACAAATTTCTCTGCAGCTGATATGCATTTCGACAAAAATTTCTTTACAGTGATTCTCGAACCAAAATGTAAGATTTTCTTAATTTACTGCTGTTGTTTTTATATTGATTGATTGTTTGCTGGTTGCTCATGGTCCAGTGGCAAATATTTCATACATGTTTAGGACGAGAATACATGTACAATACATACTATTGGTAGTTCCTGTAATATAGGCCGTACAGGATGAAGGTCGTGGAAATTTAAACTGTCACTAAAAAATAAGGGTAAATTGGATAGGGTCAGACAGTTTGCCTTGCAACAGGCCATTTGCGGACCCTCCAAAAGAGTTGTTGGAAGGGTTCCTTACGTGCAGATTGCATGGCACTCTGTCTACACGTTGCATCGGATTTAACCTAATTCTAACTGGACATGACTGCGTACATGTACATCCAGCATAGCTAAACAGACGCCCTTCTTTGGCAATGGGTTTACTGCCAGTCGGAAGAAGACATGTAGTGACCATATTCATATTCCCCAGTCACCTTTGGGTGTTGTTTAATAAAATAAAGTAATTGTAATACGCATTAACAATTAACTGAATACGTGTAAAGAAATATTGCTTCAATTGCAACAAATTGGAAATTGAAAACCAAAAATCGAAAAATGATTTTGTGGAATAAAGTGTTTGTATGTTCTAGAATATATTGCTTCGAGCAGATTTGTCATATTAGTCTGTCCTATTGGATGTGGGTCATATTGACATGACCATCGTTTTAACATTTGTAATTCATTGAATAAAACGTAAAACGGATAAAAGAAATTGCAAATTATATCATATATCATTTAATTTTATCTTAAATTGGTCTAATTATTTGTTTTGTTTTTAAATTCTAGGTTTCCTAATAGTTTGATAATTGATAAATATATATTGTACCATTCTGTCTTACTGAGAAATAAATACTTTCTTTTATTTAAAACAAATACGATGTAATGTTACCTTTCCATACGTACTTTTAATAATATACTGGTCTTAATCTTGCATTAGATTTTCTTTTTCTTTCGAATACGTTAGATGACACATAAACCTGAAAGTACATTCTATTTGTAAGCAAAACCAATTACATGATATAATTGCATTGATGATAATAATGACTAGTGAAAATTTCTATCATGTTTTTATATAGACAAACAAAAATGTACATGTTTGAATTTTCATTGAAATAAAGGAACTTAGGAAAAAAGATATCAACAATTTTCTTTTTCATTAGAGTCGGAAATTGCAAAATCCCAGAAACTGGGACTGTCCTATCTTGCAACGAAGGAAACAGAAAAACATTCGTACGCATGACCTACCTAAAGTTTGCCATCAGGAAAAATTGGTTTAATTGCTACAAATTGGAAAATAAAAACCAAAAACCAAAATGAGCATTTGTGGGTTAAAGTTTTTTTTTCTAGGTCATGCATTGTTTCGAGCGGATTTGTCATATTTGTTTGTCCTGTTGGTGATAGTTCATATTGACAAGAATGATCATTTTCACATTTATAATTCATGGAGTTACACGAAAAAAGGAAAAAATGAAATTGCCAAAAAAATATTCCATAATACTTAATTGTGTGTAGGTCTAGTTATTTTTATGTAAGTTATATGTTTCCTTTTGGTTGAATGATTGATAAACACAAAATATGAAATATGATACGATTTTGTCTTTGTGCTCTTTAAATTTGTATTGTCTTTGTGCTAAATTTTTATTGTCTTTGTGCTTTTTAAATTTTCATTGTCTTTGTTGTTTAAACTGGTTACAGTCTATTGTTGTCTTTTTGACACCTTCCCCGGTTTCATCCTTTATTTTATAAGCTATCCTTTGTAATAAAACAAGTGTATTTATCTTTCAAATTTTTACAGTAAGTAACGATTCAGTGTTAAAACATTTACTTAACCGATGGTTTAATAGTTTGTTATGAATAATGATGTTTAAGGGTGAGATGAGTCGATTACCAATCAAAATATATTTTTTAATATCTAATCATTTGATTAAGCTTATCAATGTATTGTGTAGGAGCAACACAACAGATGTTGCTTATAGACCAGGATCTGCTTATTCTTTCGGAACACCAAAGATGTTGTGTTTTGTGTACTGGTGTATGTTTTTTGTCGTTTGTCGTTTTTTTGCCATGTCAGTGTCAGTTTGGTTTTGACTTATGATCTTTATTATCCCTTTGGTATCTTTTTTCCTCTATCTTACTAAAGAATATCAGATATTCAAGTTATTTTGTTTAAATGTAATATGTGTTGTGTTGCAACTCATACATTGTTTATTTCTTATTTTGTCTTGATATAAATTTGTCTTTGTTTTTGTTTGTACAGGAATTTCATTCTATTTGTGATTCAAAATGTGCAGCAATATTTAAAATGCATGGTGATGTTTTTTCTTGTAAAAGGTGGGGGAGGGGTAGTCTATTTTGTTTTTGTTTGAACATATATTTGAACATCTTTCGGTTTTCAAATACTGTTCATAGAGTTCATGAAACAGAAGCTTTTTTTGGTATGAACTGATTGTTTTATATCATATTTCATATGCATGGGTAGCAGGACTATTTTTTTTTAATTTAAAGCCTCCCAAAATATAATGTACTAATCAAGACTGCGTCGTGGTATAACATGTGGGAGTGGAATAGATCATAAAATAATATGGCGTATTCATAAATTACTGCTCTTCCTTGTAGTTGTAAAGACATTTAATCTACTTATCTACATCAATATTATATTACCTTTTACACTTTTGAGTTTGGGGTTTACTTTAATGATACATCTTGTGAACAAAATACCAAAGCTAATGCTGTTTCAAATAATGTAATAAGATTTGGAGTAAGATAGATATCATCGAAATTTATTTAATTGATAAAAAACGCCGTATATTTATTCGCATCTATTAAAAAATAAATAACATATGTTCTATTTATATACACTTTTTGTTAACAATGGCGAACCACTGCATATATTTTAGTCAGTTACTGTGGTAGAAATTAATGTATTAATGTGGGATTAAAACATTTGTATATGACTCACTTTACCATTTTACTTATCATATTCAACACAAGTATTGTATCAACATTGAAACAAGTTTTAAATAATATTTTGATACACTTTATGTAGTAAATTACACTTAAATGTTTTATAAGTTATTATCATATTTACTTGATATGCTTGAATTTTGTTTATCTCCTGTAAATATTTGAAATTGATGCATTTGTCGTAAATGTTTTAAACAAAAAAGGAAGTGTTGCCATTCACTCACATCCATACTTCAAAAACACTTTCATAACAGTGTCATATAGATGTTTAATTGACTGTAGGTTATTGTCATTTTGAACGTAATGGTTATATGAAATTAAAACGAAAAAAAAAAACATTATTAGCATTGCTTTCATCTAAGACAAATATGTACATTTGAAATATTATAGTGCTAAAATTTATTACAAAGACAGCTGATCATTATTTACATTGTTTAAACTAAAGACGTTGATGTACATTTGAAAATTTAAAGCTCTTAAAGCATTACATACTAGATATATTTTCATTACGGAAGTACTTTGTTATGTTCATTAGCCACTGTCTCTATACTGGCATTCTTTCTATTATTTGTTATAGTTTATAAATTACGTATAAAAGAGAGGAGATGATTCCGAGTGGGACATCACAAATAAGAGAAAAACACTCAACATAACTTTAATAATCATAGTTCTCATTATTCATATTTTTATATTCATAATAAAATGGCGACATAAATTTGCGTTTTTACTTTATTTAATGTATTTTCTCTCAATTAAGGAAGACATTTTATCACTTGCTTGCACTGCGAGTTCTAAATTAACGAAGATGTTCAATATACGTCAATTTGACCTAAACCCAACAATACACATAACACAATAGACAACGCTGCATGCATTATATATTGTATATACATATAAGTATCAGATATTCATAGATTTTGGTACAAATCAATTCAATAAGATATGAAAGCAATGATAAACAAACTATTAAAAATACATGTTCTTTTGGATATAAACATACACAAGATTCACTGTTGAAAAATCTAAAATAGAAAAAAATCCAGTTCAAAATCTCTCAGAAATAACAGGTCTGATATGGATATGGCTATTCTTTTTATGTCCATTTTGGTTTGGTCGTATAGCTTTTTGGGTGATTATGCATTCATGGAGTTTAAGTTAATTTTATAAACCATTTAAGTACTTTTATTTGCAAAAGTCAATACAGTCTTATATCAATTTTCTACCTTTGGTAGATTATCCTTCTGATGTTATCTACCGCACACCTTTCTTAAACTCTTTAGTAATTTAAGCTAGAGGCTCTTAAGAGCCTGTGTCGCTCACCTTGGTCTACGTGCATATCAAAGAAAGGACACTCTCAAACATTGTAGACGAGAATAGACTTCATGACAAAAATCTCTATTTTGTTGATCTTGTATTACTGATCTTTTAGTCTGTTTAATTTCTCTCTATCTTCTTTACATTTTGCTCAAAACACAAAAGAGGGTAAAAAAAATCCTCATTTAAGGGCAATCACTCCTTTGAAGAGTCTACTAACTATATCGGCAAAATTTGACTTTTCAATAGATCTTGCCTTGCTTATCATTTATGTGATTTAAAGTGTTAATTTACCTATTATAATTTAAATCATATAATGCATAACGTTTTTCTCTAAATATCATAGTTTTCATGATAATAGGCAAAAATGAAAAAAAAGGTAAAATTTGTGGGCAATAACTCCTATAAGAACTTGTCTAACAGTTTTGAGGTATATGGACAATTGGTAGAGTTCATTATTCTGAACGAGTTTGCTCCTTTCAGATTTTCTCTATTTACACATTCATGTTATAACGGTTCAAAAAATATTAGACAAAACATACATTTTATCCCTATGTTCTATTTTTAACCATGTTGGGCGGGGTTATCGGACACATTTTTAAACTAGACACCCTAATGATGATTGTGGCCAAGTTTGGTTAAATTTGCCTCGGTAGTTTCAGAGGAGAAGATTTTTGTAAATGATTACAAAAATTTACCAAAAAATTGTTAAAAATTTACAATTAAGGGCAATAACTCATTAAAGGATCAATTGATCATTTGAGTCATGTTGACTTATTTGTAGATCATACTTTGCTGAACATTATTGAAGTTTACTGTTTATCTCTATCTATAATAATATTCAAGATAATAACCAAAAAGTGCAAAATTTTCCTAAAATTACGAATTGAGGGGCAGCAACCCAACTACGGGTTGTCTGAGTTGTCTAAAGACTACAGGGCAAATAGATTTTGACCTGATGAACAATTTTACCCCATGTCAGATTTGCTGTAAATGCTTTGGTTTCAGAGTTATAAGCCAAAATATACATGGCCTCTATGTTCTATTTTTAGCCATGGCGGCCATCTTGGTTGGCGGAAGGGGTCATCGGACATATGTTTTAAATAAGATACCCGAATGAGGATTGGGGCCAAGTTTGGTTATCTTTGGCCAAGTAGTTTCAGAGGAGAAGATTTTTGTAAAAGTTAACGACGGACGACGACAGACGACGACGGACGACGGACGCCAAGTGATTAGAAAAGCTCACTTGGCCCTGTTGGCCAGGTGAGCTAAAAAATAACAAACTAAGGTTTTATCTCCAACTCATACTTTATTTAAAGTGTTATGCTTATTCTAAATGATTTATATTTGGTAATCTTTGGCCAAGTAGTTTCAGAGGAGAAGATTTTTGTAAAAGTTAACGACGGACGACACCAGACGACGTCGGAGACGACGGACGCCAAGTGATTAGAAAAGCTCACTTTGCCCTGTTGGCCAGGTGAGCTAAAAAATAACAAACTAAGGTTTTATCTCCAACTCATACTTTATTTAAAGTGTTATGCTTATTCTAAATGATTTATATTTGGTTTTACAACATGTTTAATTTTATTCGATAACAAATATTTCCAGAGCGTAAATGATAAGCACGCTGTCGTCGAAATACATTAATTTACGTCGTTTGACTGTCATACAAGTGAGAGGTTTAGCTAGCTATAAACCCAGGTTCAATCCACCATTTTCTACATAAGAAAATGCCTGTACCAAGTCAGGAATATGACAGTTGTTATCCATTCGTTTAATGTGTTTGAGCTTTTGATTTTGCCATTTGATTAGGGACTTTCCTTTTTGAATTTTCCTCGGAGTTCAGTATTTTTTGTGATTTTACTTTTTTTGATATATGAAAACAATTGCTAATTAGTATTCTACAAGTTATAATCAACACAGAAGCTCCTCTAAACAGTGTCAAATCCATCCAGTTATTTAAAAATGGCATAACAACTATTTCTCATATTCTGAATATTTGTAATCGAAGTATATAACAATAAAACTAACTGACGTCTTTACTCAAACTTTCCTAAGAGTACTGATATTTCAGTCTGAGATTTATCTGGTGGTTCAACACCATGTCATAGAGGAAAGATAGGTGTACATTGACAGTTTTTCACTACTTTATAGCCTTATCCGAATCGGAAAGACTACACACATTTTCACTTAACTCTTTGTTAACCGATACTTACCTGTAATATAAGTTGAAGGTTGACTTAGATTTCCTGAAATGCAAGGTGACATTAAGTGGGACCACGTAAGATTATAACCAATCCCTTGAAATCATCAGCTTTTAAAGAGTGCAATTGATTTTTAAAACCTAAGGGAAAGGGTAGGGAGGGCACTTGGTCCCACTTAATGTCACCATGCATTTCAGGACATCTGAGTCAACCTTCAACTTACAGGTAAGTATCGGTTAACTAACGATTTTCTTATATTGCAATGTGACAGTGGAACCACGTGAGATGTTGAAAGTAAAATCTAGAGCACTTAGCAACTCAGCAACTAAATAAATTTTACAAAAGTGCATAGATATCAATCTACTGTTACAGTAGTAATTTATCTCCCAAATAAGTGGAAGGTGCTCTCTTTTTCTGGTAAAATCTCCCAAACACACTTTCATTACTACCGCCTGTTGCTTTAGGATATAAGTGAAAGGAATACCAGCCGAGAAAGCTGCACTAGTTATGGCTGCCCTTGTATTGTGCGCTTTAAACTTATCCGTATCTATTCCAGCTAACTTAAGAACTGTTTAAATACATCTTGCAATGGTTGCACAAGCTACTGGTTTGAATGATTTAGAATGAGTTATCAATAATTAGGTATGATCACCCCTTAAATGAGCAGTTCTATGACTGTAGACTTCAATAGTTCTAACAACACATAAATCTGAATATCTATTTCTTTAGATCTACAGCATTAAGATGTACTCCAGGCCTTGATTGTTTACATAAATGAACTATTTGAAAACAAACTGTGTCACCAACCACATCATAATAATTCAAGTCTAAAAAATTAAGAGTTTGGCAGCGTTGCCCAGTCATTAAAGCACTCATAACCAGTCAAAAACTTTAAACTAAAAGTATCTAAACTAGGTAAGTCTTTCAAAAATTTAAGCACAACATTTACATCCCAAGTAACGATGTAAAACGTGGTAAAGAAGGCTTCATATTGAAAGCTCCTTTCATAAAACGAATAACTAAAGCATGCTTTCCTACAGGAACATTATTTATAGATATAAAACTTGACAATGCAGAACGAGCGGTATTAAGGGCACTTTAACCTGCATTTTGAAAATAAACTGCAAAAAAGTCCAAAACATAAGCTATGGTAGGTTGAAATGGACCAATATCATTATCTCTTAAGCAAAATTATACCAACGGACGATATATTGCTTAGCTGTAGAATCTCGCCAGGAGTTCATAATAATTGAAATGGTTCTTTCGGAAAGCCCTTGGTCCTCAAAACCTTTCCGGATACCCTGCATATCAGGAGCGATAGACATCGTTGTACATACTGGATGATGCCATTGAAGGTTGTGTGGCAATTGTAATATATTTTTGCTAGTTTTATCAATAATGGTGGAACAACACACAGTCTCATGAGCTGTGGAAACAAACTCTGTGATATCTAATGCTTTGTCCGCTAACACCTTCTGGCACACTCTGTCTTATATTCTGAAAGGTGGAAAAGCATAAAATTGAAACTTGACCCAAGATAAACCATCTATATGAGTAGCTAAAGGGTCAGCTTTCCAACTGACATAAGTATCAACCTGATGGGTTAGTCTGGATGCAAATAGAACAAAGTCAATAGTATATCCTAGTTGTAAAACTTTGTGAAATGTATTTCTATTAAGCATCCATTCAGTTTCATTTCTGTTAGCCTCCTTTCTTTGTCTGCAATGATATTGTCAACACCAGGAATATGAACTTCTAATAGCCAGATGTTATACTTGTCTGCTAATAATAAAACTTCCCTTCCTTTAAAATTACCAATTTTTGATTTAGTTCCACCCAAATTATTTATGTAAGCTACAGTTGTAGAATTGTCTGATAAGATTTTTACATAATGTCCGGCCAAGTTATTCAAAAAACGTTTCATTCCCAAAAACACAGCTTATAATTCCAAATAGTTAATATTGTTACTAAAATTTAACTCCTCCTTCGACCATTGTCCACCTGTAGATAAACCTAGGCATTCTGCCCCCGTCCAACTAAAGAAGCATCTGTTTTTAATGTAGTAAAAGGAGTTCCTCTTAAGTGTACGTCATCAGTACTGCAACTGTTACTGGACCCACGTGATACCTCAACTGTACTTCCATGTGCAGTCTCAGAAAGAGAAATAGACGAATCACAAATCTGATCAATGCGCGGC